CTTACAGTAGTAATCACATCATCCCTGTCATCACCATCAGCAACGTCAGCTTGTAATGCTGTTATGGACGGAGATAGATTTGCCGCCTGTGATGCAATAGAAATGATGTGATTACTTTGTACCTCTGTACGGAGCCGATCAAGTGTAGAGTCATCCAATAAGTGACCCCGTTGAATGGCTCGCACCTGATCCGATAATCGTTGAGCCGAAACGTTGACGGTTGGTTCAAGAGCCTGAAACAGAGAAAGCATCTGAGCACGGTACGCAGTAAGATTGGTTCCTGCCTCTGTTGCCTCAAAATATGCACGCATGACACTTTCGTTTATGGAAGTTGTCCAACGCATGTGGTGCACTCCACCGGGAGCGGGGGCCCTGACCGGAGCCGATTGCCCCACAAGCCCCAAACCCTTCGGTGGCCGGCCTCTTCTTCGACGAACTGGTGGTGGCGTCGTCGGAGAAGATAAGTACTCGTCACTATCGCTCGACGCAACTGCAGGTGTCAGCCGGAGGGTACTTGGTACTGAGACTGTTGCCGATAACTGCGAGGCGGAGCGACTTGACGAGTCCGGTGGTCTCAAACGTGATGTTTTGCTCCTCGTCAACATTGTAGATTCGTTCCCATTCTCTGTTGTTGTGTTTCATTGTAATTTGTTTTGACACTTTCACATGTCATCGGAGTAATCATGTGTGTGAACAATTTTCCTTTTTTATTTCTATTTCATTTTTGGTTTTGTAATAGATTAGATATTGAATTGAAATAACTATGGTATAATAAATATGGTAAGACGTATTTTTAATTCGAAATAAAATATTATAATATATTTTTATGTATACACGTTATGCGGAAAGTGAATCAATTCTGCACGTGTTTATACCTACATTTAATGTGACCCGAATGGGTCTAGTGCGTGGTCTTCCTATGGAAGGGTCTCCTGAAGAGATTATTATAAATAAAATAAATAAAATAAAATTAATATTAAATTTAAATTATGTAATTTATTAAATTAAATAAATGATTAGGTGTATTTTAAGTGACATGTGCCTATTTCTACAATAATTGATTATGCATTATTATTATGATTATGAGTTATGTTGCTCGAAATAAATGAATTTTATTTTATTTTATTTATTTATTTATAATAAATAAAAGAATTTGGAAAGAATGTGTTGTCACGTTGAAGTTTTTTTTTTAATATTATTATTATTGAAAAGAAATCAGCGGGTTTTTCTTTCGTAAGAACGAATAGGTAATACCTACCTTCCTCCCAATTACGAAACCTGATATATATTATAAGCTAACTCCCATATATTTTAAGAAAATATAAGTAAATTACTGGAGAAAGCTTATTCAAGAACTTACCTATCAAGAAAGTTTTGGAAGGCAAATATTTGAAAATTCATCCTGTTTTAACCGACTTCAAAATGAAGGAGGTTCCCAATTCCTCAGTATGTAGGGTTCCGTACCCAAAGGGTAAAAATGGAACCCTATTGCTGTCTGTCTGTCTGTCTGTATGTATGTCTCTGGTCTCTAGATCGTAAACGGAATGAGTTACAGAACTGAAATTTTGGTATTTTATGTAAAATGCTTGCCCGAAACTAAAAATTTAGATAAATTCAATTACATTATTTCAATGCCTTTCCTCGGAACGTGTTCTTTTTTATGTATACACGTTATGCGGAAAGTGAATCAATTCTGCACGTGTTTATACCTACATTTAATGTGACCCGAATGGGTCCAGTGCGTGGTCTTCCTATGGAAGGGTCTCCTGAAGAGATTATTGAAAATACATATATCTGTTCCAATTGATTGCGGCAAAATAATAAAAGTAATAAGTATTATAATTACGTTTTTCAAGAAAGCTCGGTAGTTTGGAAACCAACTCAATCAATTAGTGTCACCTTTAATGGCCAAATTCTCCCTAAACGAGATTTATGTGCTAGATTTGATGCATTGCCTGTAGATTTATATATTTACCCAACGATACAGTGTTATAACTGCTGCCGCTTTGGCCATACCAAAACAAAATGCAGGTCAAAACCTCGATGTTTCAAGTGTGGTGGAAATCATGTTTGTTGTTAATGTGATCTCATTTTGCTACTAATAAATATTGAGCAGAGTATATCCGCCAAAACGATATTAAAGTCTACTAGGCTAATAACTGTGTTTCATATGTTACTTGGACGCTTCAGTCCAAGTCTTACCCTAGAGTTACTAAAATATACTCAAATGTTACCTCAAACAATTTTGCAAAGTCCTCTACTCACAGAAATATTCCATCTAACATTGAACCTAGCAATAAATCTACAACTTCTTTATATAAAAAACCCCGAGTTCCATCAAAACAATTACATAGCTGTGATACTGAATCGCACAAGGCTCATAATAAAGACTATGACTGTCCGTCATGTTCTGATGGCTGTGGGTTCAGTGATAAAGTACAGGATTTAAATAAATCCCAAATCTCTATTTATGACCTAATCCAATTACTGCTCTCTTTTCTAACTCATTTTAACTCTAACTCTCAATCCAGTTCTCCTTCACCGTCCAACGCTGATTCTTAAATATCAAATTTAATCAAAATTCATCAAAATGGACAAAAAAGCTAAAATCATACGATGGAAATGCCGAAGTATTCTTAATAAATATGACCCTTTTATCTTTATTTAATCTGAAACATAGCTAAAATCTCATCATAAGCTTTAAGCTTATGGATATGTTGCTCTTCGTGAAGAAAGACATGATAGCTACGGTGGCGTAGCTATTCTCATTAAAAAATCAATCCCTTTTACTCCTATTTCTTTACTCACTCATCATGAAAATATTTCTATAGTGACCGTTAAGATCTATGACTTAAGTATTGTTTCCATGTATATTTCTCACCCTTCTGTACACATTTTAAATGAGGTAAAGCAAAATATATTAAATACATAACCGAAACCTTTTATGGTTTTAGTTAGTTAAATATGTTAAAATCATGAAGCTTAAATCTGCTGTAATATGTTCAGATTCAAAAGTGCCTTACAACCATTAGAAAAGTTCCCATTTAAAATGAAAAATTATTCCCCTGTCATTTTTAATATAAGACAAATGACACAGGAATGTATCAAAAACGGTCTACATAATTATAGAATTTGCGTGGATTCGTGCTCATATCAGTATAGTTGGTAATGAACTAGCTGACAATCTGGCAAGTGATGCTGTATCATGTGGCGATGTTTTTCCGTTCCAAAACTAATGTTTAGATCTATTAGCTTTTAATAATCTGATAATCTGTATTGCGTGAAAGATGGGAACAAATGTGAAAATATAGCAAACTAACCAAAGGTAAATTTTATGCTGAAATTCGGGATCACGATCCTCCTAAACCTTGGTTTTACAACATGAAGTTCGGTAAGACGGAGTCATCCATGATAAATAGAATAAGACTAGACCATTCGTCTGTGCCTTCCCATCTTGCCAAACTCAATATAATAAATGATCCTAGGTGTGACTGCGGGTTTGATGAGGGAAATGTTGATCTTATTTTGTTTTCCTGTCCTCTATTCCATGGATTCTTAGTTTTTAAAGACTTATCATCCCCACATATTAGACCATTCCCGACAAATAAAGCTACACTTCTACATACCAATGATCTATCTGTGTATAAATGTATTATATATTTCCTTTTACTTAATAATATAAAACTTTAAATGAAAATTTATATAAAACTAGCTGTTGCCCGCGACTTCGTACGCGTGGAATTAGTCATTTTAAGTAGCCTATTGTTTATCCAATCTGATTTTTCTCAGTCTGTTTACGGTTTGTAGTTGAGTCAAGTTTTAAGTCTCTTAGTTTACCCAAGGAATAAGATTTTTCATACAAACTTTCATTAAAACCTAAAACCCCTATTTGAAACCCTTCCGGGGGGTGAGGGGGGGGGGTTCCTTTCTTAGTGCACCCGTAGACCGTGTACCTACTGTCATACTTCCAATAAAATATTTTTTTCAATTTCTTTCAATAAACAAGAGCGACAGGCGGCCAGGGGGCCATTCGCCTAACTTTGGAAAACGCTAACGCTTACGATTTTATTTTGTTATTTCTAGCCGCCTGAGGTTTTCAAATGCTTCGCGCTCTATTTTTATCTTTTGCTATGGTAATAACAATAGTAAAAAAATGAACAGGAGGTATTTGAAAACCTTCGGCAGTCAGAAATACTAAAATATAATCGAAAGCGTTAGCATTTTTAAAAGCATTTCCGTTAGGCGAATGGCCCCCAGCAAGCTCCGCGTCCTCGTCTCGCCCGCCGCCGCGCGCCGCCAGCGTCTTGTCTTGCTTGCATCAAGCGCGCGTGGATTTCCTAGCAAAGTTATTTTAGAAATGTATTTATTATACTCTTGAAAGATCTTATACCTACTTACAATCATCAACAAATATATTTTGAAAAAGATTATTACAGGATTTTATGTTGATAAAAAACTCTATGGCCCGTAACTCATTATTAGGTACCAACTCTTAACATCTTACACACGTGATAACTTTTAAACGAAATATCCGATTGAGATGAAACAAAAAGTATTTTACTTCTACATAAATACTCTTGATAACATAATGCTTAATTTCGATAAAGATTAATATTACGATACATATTAAACGTAGTTTTTTTTTCTTCAGACGATTTAATAATTATTTTGAACACAAAATCGATTATTGTGATTAAACTATGATAGCTAGATACATGTTCACGCAGACTTTTTTGTAGGTCATATACGCTATTCCGGTCAAGTGGACGTGAGAATTTTATTGTAGTGTTGACTACCTCACAAAAGCTTATCGAAAAAGCCAACTCGATCCATTTCGTGCCAAACACTCCAAGAAACATTAGAATGCGTCACACCGACATCCTAATGTAAAAACAAAAAGAAGATTAATTTATTTAAAGACTAGGCTGTATGGGCATTGTTCCCTTTGCCTTCCCTAAAACGGGAGAACTTCAAGTTCAACTGGAATTTAACCTTATCTGCAAAACCATGAAATAAACTTAAAAGGCAACCATTTTAACTTTAAATAGTTTTTAGTAATTTGATTCTACAAGTTCAATTGTTGTGCTAATCGCTCAATAAAATTCAGTTTCTTCATCTCACGTAAACACACCATAGTGTATTATTTACGAAACTGGGACAAGTTAGAAAGTTGAACACGTTTCTACCATAGCACCGTTGTAAATGACTAAATACAAAAACACTTTATACAGAATTAACTTCAGTCAGGACAAGACGTTTTAAACTATAGAGCCAGAATGCTCAATATATTAGATATAATATTTGTCGGTTTAGCTTCAGCAATAACGTTTACAGGTTTCTTAATTAACAACTTTGAGAAACACGTACCGGCATTTATAATAAAAGGTTTTAAATATGGGAGCTTTGCTTACAAGGGACCAGAAGCTAATTTCCTCAATGTTATTGAAATACCAAAGTCTTGGTACAAGCATTTTTATTTGTTTGCATCTTGCTTTGGCAGTGCAACACTTGCTTACATATTTCTCGTGTACCACTTTGAATATAATGTGAATAGATATGTGTCCTTAATCTTGAGAATATTTCTGGAACAGGATGCACCTGCTGGTAAGTAGCAAAATTTATGCTGTAATTTTCCAAGACCTTTAATTCTGAACTTTGTGTTTAAGGAATTTGAATACATAAATAACCAGTGTGTGACCTAAATTATCTTGAATGATTTAAAAAACAATTCAGTCTACAATTACTCGAAATGTCTAATGATGTTGGCAACATATTACTGGTATAATTGTACCTTAATTTTTTTGCCTATCTTTTTTTTTTTTTTCAAAAAGTATTTTCTAAGGGACTCTATCTCTACCTACCTACTAAAATTCATCAGTGGGGTTAATGGTTGAGCATTAAAATATTTTGACTACACATCATATAGATTCAATTTGTTTGCTATAAAATTTTCTGGGCAAATGTATGTGTATAAGTTTGTATATACTTGGTTTAAGGTCTCTTAGATAGACATACTGAGTTACTATCTCAATTATCATATTATCAAATTTCATAAAATAATTTCTTTATGGCTCTTGTAATTATTGTCTATGTGTAGTAAGAGTAGGCATGAATTATGTAAATCTTTCTCAGATATCCAATTAACAAATTAACCAAACATGCCCATGTTTTGTTTCAGTGTCAGCAGCAGCTGTAACTATAGCCACCGCTCTGATGATTCTGCAATGCTTAAGGAGGTTTTACGAGACCTATTTCCTCCAGGTGTTTGCTAAATCAAGCAAAATGAACTTAAGCCACTATCTAGCTGGCATCATCCATTATTTTGCCTGTTATGTTGCTGCTATTGGCCAAGCACCACTTTTCTGTGGTAAGTTTTGATGAACATGGTGGTCTCACAAACTGAAAAGATAGGATATTAGTTATTCTTATTCTAGCAAACTTACCAATAGCTTGAACAGTAATAATGATATTTATTAGTTTGATAACTGTAAATGTGACACATCAAACCACACATAGTGTAGATAATTTTGGATTATTCTCATCAGGATCACAATAATAACCTTATAGAAATGTGCATTAATGCAACTAATTGTTCAATGACATTTAAAATAAACTAAACTGTTGAATTGAAACTAAGCAAGGATTTTGCCATCAAGGTTGCTAACTACTTGGTTATCCATCAATATTCTTAGCACTTGCCTACAAAGTGGTTTGAATTTAAATTGATTACTTATACTCAATGTCTATTAATATTAAAGAACATGATGGCAATAAAAATTTGTGATAATTATTATCATCAATTTTATTTTACACATTTTTTAAACAAGAACAGTTGACAAAGCGTAAACCTATCACAATTTATACTAAATATTCGTAAGTATGCTACTGGGTCACACTGCACCTAGTACTAAGATTTGGACTTCACACAGAAATCTCAAACAACATCCAAAAGAAGTTCTATAGGTAAAAAATTTAGTGGCTGGATGCAAAAATTATTGTGTATAATACTTTTCTAAATATTTCAGGGAGCCAAAACAGAGGGATAGTCATATGGAATGACACTCATACAAAGATATTAGCTGTACCATGCATACTTATTTACATGTGGGCTTGGTACGAACAATACCAGAGCAACATCATCTTTGCGAACTTACGCAAAGACAAAAAGTCAGGTCAAGTGATTACGGAAGACCACAGAGTACCAAACGGCAGGTTGTTCCATTATGTATCCAGTCCTCACAGGATGTGCGAGGTGATACTGTACACGGCTCTTCTACTTTTGATACCAACAAGAACATTTTTCTGCATTTATCTGTGGGTACTGGCAAATCAGGTATGTTAATTAGCTAAATTGAATCCTATCGTCATACTTATAAATATTATAGGTTTCCAGTTCCCTCTCATTAAAAATTAGTTTTTAATTGTATGCAAATAAATAATTAACTACCATAAAGTAATAAATAGTTGGAAAAGGATAATCAACACAGTCAAAGTTCATTTTTATTTTTGAAAAATTAAAAAAATAATCAATGTATTCAATTTAAATCACTACTGAAAATAATTTATTAGCACATATATAATTCGCACATGTATGAAACTAAAACACATGTTGTGAATTTTCTATAGAAACACATTTCTATATAGAAATGTGTTTCTATAGACACTTAAAAGAGTCAAGACATACTTATCAACAGTTAGTCCATAGAAAGTAACACAATGGCTTTTTATCAGCAGTATTGTTTGAATCAGTGTCTCTTGACCTTTATAGTTACTGCATGTTTATGTTTACTGCGTAGTACATGGAAAACTTAATGTCCTAATAGTGTACATTCACAGACTAGTATAATAAATATTTGCATATTTCTTTTTTAGGTCCAGACTGCAATTCAAGCTCATGAGTGGTATAAGAAAACATTTGAAAACTATCCTAAAAACAGATTCGCCATATTCCCGGGACTTGTTTGAAGATTCCTTCAACATTTATACCTAGATTAGTTATTAAAAATCATTAAATTGTACTTCAAAAAGACTGAAGAAGATATTTATAAATTGTGAAATGTGGTTCAAATATTTAAAAAAAGTTTTATTGTTCAATAATTTATTTCTATTATATAAATTACATTTAAATAAATTGAAACATTATTATATTGTATTTTAAATTTATTTCCCTAGTAAAAGGAAATGAAACACTGTGAAATTTAAGACACTGTAATAACCAACCAATAATTGCAACACTCACACTTACAATCGAATTGCACACTATTCTTATCACCTTCAGCTTATTTGAACAGGAAACTGTAACAAGGAAAAATTAAGGTTCAGATAAGGAGACGGTTCAATTTTGTATAGAGGGTGGTAGTGAATCTTCAGCAGACTCCAAATTTTTGAGAGATGTACCGTGAAAACCCCCAACTTTGGCCAGTCACTTAAATTAACCAAAATATGTGTCAGGAAAAAATATATAGGGTGAAATTGAATGTTTCTATGAAACTTCGTGAGATTGTTGGGTTACGTGTATAGAGTATGCCTGATTTTTTTCCGATTTTTTAAAATCTTTTTTTTCGTTTTTTAATTTTTTATTTGGTTATTTTTGTCATTTCTTCCTTATGAGTAATTATTCATTTTAAACACGTCTACATAGATGTTGTAAAGCAACTTAAAATAAGCACTCCTAAAAAAACGGAAACTTAAGAGGCATATTACATCTCGACAGTGATTTTTGCGTAAATTGGCGTTCTTGATCTCAGAAACAAATATACATTAACAATTTTGATCTATTGAATAGTGCAGAATAACTATTGGCCTAGTTCGTAGCGGCCTCGCTTTTTGTAAATTTCGTTTAACTTTTTAATTAAATCCAAAATTGCAGGGAAAGATTTTCATAAAATGCGCGAAGGCACTTTTTTGAGCTCCTGGATTGAACTACTGTTCTAAGCAAATTAAATAAAAAAATGAGAATGTTATCTCCTATATAGTCGTATAGTTCGTAGCGGCCTTAGAATTTTGAAATATCTTTGATTTAATATAGAAAAAAACTTATTCTAAACCTAAAAATCGCTTAAAGTTAATTGCGATTTACTCCAATTTACGATAATATTACTAAGCAAAATTTATACCAGAACAATTGTTACTTTATGAGGAATAAAGATTTTATAATTTTAAAGCATGAATTTATTCACTTATTTCAATTAATACGATAAATACAACTGCAAAATTATTACAAAATGCGATGCGCCGGTCGTCCGAACTCAGTACTGCGCGAGCGCTCCTCAGCGTCGGACCTGTGTCAAATTTTTTCACATTTTTTGCGCCATAATCGATCGAGTTGGTCGCACTATACTCTGACGTATAGTGCGACCAACAAGTTTTGATCAGTTAAGTATAATTCTTTTAAGTGTTTGTTTTATATGGAATCTACATAGCATTGTGTTCAATTATTCTTTTAATATTAATATTTATTTTATTATTTTTGGCATATCATACATATATAATATTAACATATAATAAAAATGTAAACGGGCCAATTTTGCATTTTTTTTTAAATTGTCTTCTTATGATTTTGATGAAATTTTGTTTTTGTATTCCTATTCGTCCTCTGTAATAAATATTATTTTGAAGATAGGAATAACTAATTTGGAACCATAGCAGCCCAGCCAAACTGTAAGAGATACAAATGTAGACAAAATGAGTATTTTGTAATGACCTAAAAATCGAATGTCTGGTGCACCTGATGTGAAACTCTATCAACTCTGCTAAAGTATCAGAGATATTCAGCACTAATCATTTATAATGTCACTGTTTCAGAATGAATAACTTCTCTGCCAAGAAAACATTATTATTTCCGATGGATAAAGAAAATATCCCGACATTATCACTACTGTATTATTGTAATGATAATTAATTGATGTTTGACACAGCAATCAAATGTAGGTCAACAACTACATATTATTTTTCTATTTAAGATGTAATAGTGTATAGGTTAATTGATTTTTGACACAGCAATCAAATGTAGGTCAACAACTACATATTATTTTTCTATTTAAGATGTAATAGTGTATAGGTAATCACATGCATATGTCCTGCAGTTGTGTTTTTTGTAATAATGTACACAGGTACTTTTTTTTCTATTTGCAATCTAGTATCCATATGTAATTGGGAGTAGTCACGCTCTCTTAAAAGTCTCATCGGCGGTGTCATGTGAGGCGAATCGTTACGTTCCCTAAAACATGGTTGAGCGAAGCGATGGCTGGTTCATGCGTCATGCTGGTTAATGGGTGCTGCCAGCGGAGAAGGGTCTGCTCTTGCTACATTAAATGGGGTCCCAAGGAGCTTCAATGGCGACCTCGAACCGGGAAGCGCAGTGTCGGTAGACTCCTCACGAGGTGGAGTGACGACATCAAGCGAGTCAAGGGGACCTACTGGATGCGGAGAGCGCAGGATCGTTTCTTATGGAAATCCCTTGAGGAGGCCTATGCCCAGCAGTGGACGTCCGTCGGCTGATAATGATATCGTTATATTTGACTGTAATTGTGCTTTTTATTATGTCTTAAGTGTCCTACACGGCGTTCTTAAAGTATGTGTTAAATAAGTATTTTTAAATTGTTAGTATTTTTTTATATATTTTATTTGTGTTTGTAACGGAAAATGACTTCATGAATTATCTCATATTGAAGTCATTTCTAAATTTGACGGGTTTGTATATAATGGCAGGGAGAAAAAGAGCCCTTGCTGAGTTTCTTGCCGGTTCCTCTCAGTACAAGGTCTCCCGCCGTAGATTAAAAGTCTCATCGGCGGTGTCATGTGAGGCGAATCGTTACGTTCCCTAAAACATGGTTGAGCGAAGCGATGGCTGGTTCATGCGTCATGCTGGTTAATGGGTGCTGCCAGCGGAGAAGGGTCTGCTCTTGCTACATTAAATGGGGTCCCAAGGAGCTTCAATGGCGACCTCGAACCGGGAAGCGCAGTGTCGGTAGACTCCTCACGAGGTGGAGTGACGACATCAAGCGAGTCAAGGGGACCTACTGGATGCGGAGAGCGCAGGATCGTTTCTTATGGAAATCCCTTGAGGAGGCCTATGCCCAGCAGTGGACGTCCGTCGGCTGATAATGATATCGTTATATTTGACTGTAATTGTGCTTTTTATTATGTCTTAAGTGTCCTACACGGCGTTCTTAAAGTATGTGTTAAATAAGTATTTTTAAATTGTTAGTATTTTTTTATATATTTTATTTGTGTTTGTAACGGAAAATGACTTCATGAATTATCTCATATTGAAGTCATTTCTAAATTTGACGGGTTTGTATATAATGGCAGGGAGAAAAAGAGCCCTTGCTGAGTTTCTTGCCGGTTCCTCTCAGTACAAGGTCTCCCGCCGTAGATTTGCGAACCGTTGGCATAGCATTTCGTCATTCACAAATACTTGTAATAGCCTAGACTGAATAAATGATATTGAGTTAGAGTTTGATTCGTTACAAGAAAAACGTTTTATTTTTGAGGGAGTACATTTCTGACATCTGTGAGTTACTCGTAACAGGGCATTCCTATTGGCCACCTCATAGCAGGATACCGCGGTGGCTAAGAGTAATATACCGTTATAACATGTCTAACTGACAAATGCCAAGAACGCATTCTCTCAGCGGGCAGGTTATAATATGATGAATCTGAAATAAGCTCATGACTGTTGCTTTTTCACACAAAAACCATTAGATCGATTTGATTGAAATTTGGCAAATAGGTAGTTCTGACTTAGGGTGTTTTATACTGTCATGTAAATAATCAAACATAATAGTAATATATATCTATAATAATATATAAATAATAATAAATATCTAATCTTTTATTTTAATCTAAAACGGTATGTTTACCGTTTTAGATTAAAAAAATAAAATAAATTTTGTTTTGAACAAATATCATCTGTCTTATTTATGGTATCATCTTCATTTAATCTGTTTATTCACATATGAGAACCTCCATGGCACTCTAAAAATGTGCGGGTATAGCGATAACGAATTACTACATAGAAATACTAAAAATATACAAAACTTGGAAAAAAGTATCAAAATCGCTTGGTCGTAGGTTCAACACAGTATTGTAAACTCGTGACCTTCATTGAGCTGTCGGGAACGCTTATAATACCCATTCTCGCAGAGTGCAGATTTGTAATAGGGCTCTTAATGAATGCCTCCAGTCGTGATCAGCGCCGGCCGGGGCGACGACCGGCGGCCGCCTGTGTAGGTACTATAGAGTTCTACCCAGAAGGGATAGGACCTGGGAGCGTAGACGATAATTAAAAATACTGATAGAGATAAATTGTTTATTTCTTTTTATCTTTCAGGCGATTATAAAGAATTTTTATCTAAATACGAGAGGAAGTTCTTGGTGCCTGAAGATCTAATCTAGAATGGATACGATTCCTTATTTCAAATCTTAAAATCATGACATTAACTTTTTAATATAACTGCCAACCGTAGGCATTGCAAAAGCAAAGAGTTTATCTAAACAAGGAGGCTGCAACGTCGAGGACGTTACATCCCTCCGGCACCTCTAAAAAAAAAAATTGTTTTGTCATACCAGATGACCGAACAAAATTTTTTTTCCTACCTACTACATCAAGAGGGTTCGACGGTCCTATCTAAAATCCCTACCTGCTTAAGGACATAAATACAACTGGGAGGTGGCCTTTACTACAGACTAGCCCTCACAATAAGTTTGCAAAACTTGCAAAAAAAAACTTTACGGGAAAAGAACCCTAACTGTTTGCAAAGTTTTATTGCAAAGACTTTACGGGAGCAAAACCTTAACAAAATCCCTCGCACATCTCCCTCCTAACCTTAACTTTACTTTACTTTACATCGACATCAGTCGGCAAAAACAAAAAAACAAAGCTAACCCTAGCTATAACTTAAATTACCCAAGCAATTTTTTTTTATCCCATCTATCAGCAAAACTTTACCCTATCCCATTTATTAAACCATTAAATATCAAGAAAATTTATATTTTGAAACTTCATTACTTCCCATACTAAGTAGATGTACGAAACGAAATTCAAACTATTTCCTAAGATTCGTAAACATTGAACTGGATTTGAGCAAAACCTAAAGAATTTATAATTAATGTTTACTTTCGTACATCTTTAATAAAGATACAGACGTGATCCACCACTTTATTGTCTTGTACTTTATTAGACACCCATGATGCGCAAACGTAATAGAAATTTTGGGTAAGGACATCTAGCATCAAACAAGATTAAACCCAATTCCCATGGAATACTAAGGGTTCCCTACCCCCAAGTCAAA